TAGAGATAATAGGGAGATTTTGCACGTTTACTTTAGCTTCAGTACGTACCCGTACTTAAGATTTGAATCAACTGCTCATGCTCTCGTGTATTTAGATGCTACGTTATCTCTACGTTGTGCTGCCGTGATTAACACTACAAAAGCAAAACTACAAGCACGTTGTTTATAGCTGTTAAATGTTGTTTCCTGTTTAAGCCTACCTTCGAACTTCCATGGACATGGAATGCGAATTCGAAGAAATATATTGATGAAATTTAGAAATGAATCGTGGGATATTATAACAGGTAGTTGAACGAAGAGATCGTCTGCGCCCATTGTAAATTTTTGTTTTGATTTAGTAGTCAAAGTAAAAATGATATTCCACTATGTTAGCGTTTTTAATTTACAGATTGCTGCGAAATTTCTTATCTTCATTTTGATATTTTTTCACGGGTGTATGCGCATTTCAGCCGAGTCGACGCATGCGCAATTATTTAAAATCTTAATTACGGGAACTTACGAAAACTAACGAAAATTTTGCTAAATCTTCTTAATTTGTCTTTTTAATATTTTAGAATTGTTCTAAGAGTGCGGTTCGTTTTGAACTCCTCAAGCATGGTATTTTTGACAGTTTGTTTTAATGTTCCAAGATGTTTGCTAAATCGAAGCGTTCTTTTTCATCAGCAAATCGACAATTTCATTGCCATGGATTCAACAATACCCAAGGATACATCGTAAAACAATGTTCTTTCCCCTGACAGATAAGTTTTGTATTATCCTCCAATATTCAAGGACCACAAAGGGCATATAATTCGAGTTTGACAACTGAGAATACAATGCACCTAAAAAATCCATAAGCATAACAAATTTGGACAACATATTCAACAGGAAGCCATACTGAGGAGGAAACTTAAATCGCATTTCGCCTCCATAATTAATTTAAAATTTAAAATACGTGAAAAGTGAGCTCATGTAATCCTTGATTAGGCCATGAAGTTTCAATTGCTGAAGGAAATTAAAATATCAAAATGCAAACAAATTATAGGGAGAGAACTTCTTCATTCCGTAATCCTAAGTTATCTACTCATAAATTGTTTTTTCATTTTGATAATTTGAAAATTTATTTTTAGTCTTTTAAACTTCATGGTTTACACTAGCATCGCCTGAATTTACTTTTTCGTGACTTTAAATTTTAAATTAATTATGGAGAAGGAATAGAATTTGCGATGAAAAGTTTTTCGCGAGGTATAGCGTCCTTATAATTGGCAGGTCAGCTGAGAAGGATCAATCTTCATTGTCAACACTTCCCCATCAATTATAGTTGCAGAAATGCCAGCTGGAGTTTCAAATAAAATGTATATTTTTATTATTATTATATAATAATAATAATTACTGAAACGCATTTTTATTTAAAGGGAAATATTCACTGGATACTCAGGAGATGTACAGAAAAAAAGAAGTAAAATTCTGAAAATTACATCCAAACTTTTAGACATTAATCTTTTTTCCTGCTCTGAAACAGATGGATATATTTTATTAGGGAGAATTTGAACCTCTGAAGGAAATGTTATTTATTCAATTATAATCGGTAAAAATTATATTTAGTCAAACACTCAATTTTCAGCACAGGTACTCGAACAGCGATCGAAACCATGGCAGACTTGGCCTTTATCCACTACACGAATAAATGGCTACTTACCGATGAAATAAATAACAAATTGGCACATGAAAAAAGCTTTTATGACAACCTGAACTTTACCACTAAATTACGAAAACCGAAAGCTAAAAGACATAAACAAAATTATTTATTGATAATCACAAGAGTAATTTCAAATAAAATATTTAATTATTTTTATAAAACTCGATGCAAATTATTTATGAATTGTTGAATTAAATACTAATTTTTATAATTACTTGTAACAAAATTTTATCATTAAAAAATATTCACTAGTAGCAAAAATAAAGTTATTATAATTTCAATATATATATTTATATTTATATGTTTATTCAAATTAGACCTTTCAAAGTATAAATTTTCGCAATGGTAAAAATAAATTGTCTTTCTTCGTTTAGGTCATTTGTTACAATGATATGATAATAATATACATTTTTATCACTAAAAGAATCATCGGGCACCGCAAAAATAATTTTCGCAAGCTTTGATTTTTATAAAAGAAAAATACCTTCATTATACAACAAGGCGGTGAAATTCAGATGAAAAATGCAGGGAGTAGAATACATATTTGCATTTTTTTTCTTCAAAACTGGCTACATTTCTTTTACTTTAGATAGTAAGAAAAAAAAAGGAAATCTCGTATTCAAACTTTTTTGGAATCAAACGAGATTGGTAAAAATGATAATGAAATTCAAAAGCAATGCAACTCTTAAAAAATATAAATTCATGTATAAAACATCAGAGGTATCATAAGAAAAAGAACATTCTTTTTTTTTTCGCTTTGCATCTTTCGAGTTTTTGGCAGAAAACTGGTCGAAAAGATTTTTATATCTTTCAACTTCAAAGATTGTTAGGCGGCTTTAAATGGTCCGTAACTGCAATTTTGTTCGAGAAAGGAACCAGTAAAGGGACATTCAAAAGGAATAAAATATGAAAGTTTATTTTTTCCCCAGGATATCCAAACTGGACTTTTGATTACAGTAAAAGAGAGCAATTGATGTTATTATTCATTTATTTTCACTGGTTTAAATGTATAACTTTAAAAATGCAATAACCTAAATCTACTGAATTCGTCTGATATAATATTATAATCTTAAATTTTCTTGCAGAGAGTCTCTATTTATAATAGTTTTGGAAAAGGTAATAAGTAGAAGCTAAAAATTATTATTTTAATTTTGTTTAGGCGAAAAAACTGCATTATTTGTTATTTAACTAATACTTTGTTATTATCTTTGTTTTATTTTATTTTTTCCTTACTCTATAAATGTTAATTTTACATATAATTTTAATATTTATAAAAAATATTCTTAAAAGAAATGAATGGACATATGTTTGAATATATACATCGAGAAAAAAAAGTATGATCAAAACTGTGGGAACACCAAAAAGCTTCGAAATTATTACCGATGGTTATGAATCTGGTAAAATTTAAAATAAAATATGTTTGTATAATGTGTGATAAAGTTTGGTAAGTGCGGTAAAATGAGATAATTTTATGGTGATGCTTTAGTGTATGCCACAAAGGTCAATTATTCGGTAAAATCTCATTTTCAGCTTTGTATTTATTACTAAATGTGTGGTAATAAGAACTAAGTTTGAATACCCGAATTTCGGTAAATCGTTAACATACAAATAAAATAATTATCAACTGAATGACTTAAATATCGTATACTTAATCATTAAGATATTCTTTTTACCAGAAATGCAGTAGCCATATAGTACTATCTCCGTGATGCCATGAGAAGTTTCTTCTATGTAAGTTATTGCTCAAATATGTAAGTTTTCAATTGCGTAAATATCTAAGTTTTGGTATACTACATAGAGAAAAAAGACTCTGGTAAAATTACCGTGCTGTATGGAAATGATATTTTTGGTAGAGGAAACTATAATTTCCACAATGAAACGAAAGTACAGGTATAGGGTATTTAAAACATTCACTTGGTAATTTTTTCCAAACATATGGTAAAGATTCACAGAAAATTCAAATTTCCAAAATTATAGTTTTAATTACCGAACATTTAGGGAAAAATTTTAAACTAAAAATCAAATTTAATCAAATAAATGATTTTTATCCCTTGATAATGAAATAATAATGAAATTATCAAATTTTGCCTTACTTACGAATTTTTATCACATGTTGTAACACTCTATTTTATAGTTAATTTAACAACAATCATTACCAAAGCTCTCCAGAAAAATTTACTTAGCTTTTTGGTGTTCCCATAGAGCCAGACACATGGTAACTTTAACCATATTCTGGTAGTTTTGACCATACCTGTTTACTCAAGGTATAAACTGAAAATACTAAATCCGTTTAGGATAACTTTTAGATATTGAGTATGCTGGAGACAATTATTATTTTTGTTAGTTCAATACTAATGCATTACTACATTACTATTATTTCATGAATATTACTTTCATAATTATTTTCATGCGTTTTGAGTTCTCCTCTATAATTTTTATATTTCTTTTTTTTCAATGTTAAAGATATCAATGTTTATTCAATGTTTAAGATTTATGAGCAGTTGGAAACGGCTCGTAATTTTTGCAACTCCTTTTACTTAAAATAAATAAAAATTCTAGTCTAGGCATTTTTGGAAATATTCGAATTCAAGTATTTATGGAGTATTGCATGGAGTATTCGAACTCAAATTTTTATTAGAATGAAAAATAGGGAAAGAAAAAAATTATTGTTTTCTTTTCCTTGTGTTTATGAATACATAAAACACGTAGGTTCTTTATTTTTATCAAATAAAATTCGCACTATATTTATGGCCACATTTAGTTTTTCTGAGTTATAAGCAAATGAACTAAACTACGGTATTATTTAAAAAAATTATTTACACTTTCGCCAATTATGGTTTCGCCTTACAAGACAATTTTGCTTCGGAATTTTAATATTTTTAATATTTGTTTTGCAATATCCTAAAGTTTTTTTTTTATTTTTAATCTTTTATTTTTTTTCAACATGTATACATATAATTAAGTCATGTGCATGTAATTTATCCAATGTTTCTGGCTATTGATATTGTATTATTTTTATCAATTATGCAATGACTTTTTTTAATTTGCATTTGTTTTTTTATTGAGATGTTTCTTATTGAGATGAAGAAATCAAAGTTGTGTTAGTCATTTTTAAGGTTGTCCAAGTAATATAATCAAATTTCTAAAACTATTAGCAGTAGCTAAAATAAAACACCTGAAATGTAAAAAAAAAAAGAAAAACTCTAATTAATCTTTCTTTTAAACTTTGTGTAAGAGTACAAAAAAAGTAAGAAACACGCAAAATATGACAGATGGAGGGTTATTTATGATTGATCGCAAATATTACAACAATATTTCTTACCGGGAATAACGTCCGGACATTTATCTTCAGTTTCTAAGGCTGTTGATAATATTTCTCGTCGATCATCAGAATCTTGTCGAAGTGGTGTCCCTGTCCTATAAATAATAAAAATTTTAATATTTTTGTTTTCATCTTGATATAATATTAAAGTTTATATTCTTTGACAGGAAACAGACTATATATAAAAAACAGATTTTGATAGATTTTTTTAAATAAATTCCCCGTTAAAATTTTCGTCTGAAAACTGCAGTATAAGACCGACAGCACCCTGTCTTTCCAACTAACGGTAGAGTTTACAATAAAGAACACTTTTTACCTTTTCAGTTTTAAAACCGTTTGCATTTTCTTTGGTTCAAAAACCAGAAATACAAAACGATAGGTTTTTTTTACCATTTGCAACTTGCAGCAAGGTTTCGAAAATGTTTAAAACAAAAAAAAACAGGACATTGGATCTTGATTTTTCGTTAGGTAATGACCATCGGAGTTAGGTTGTGATGAAGTTGCATTTAATTAAATGTGGCTTTATTTACAATGGAATGTGGTTTATTTTGCTTATCTGGCTGTTTCACCTTTCGTAAGAGATTGGAAATACAAGATTTTTTGCGTCAAGCGGCTATATGGTGCTGCCATCTATCCGTGAATGGGAGTATCTTATTCAATTAGTCCAGGGTCATGAATTGGGGAATGCATTGCACTAGAAATTCGTCATGAGTTGAAGGTTAAGTGGGAAATCTCGTGTTGTCACCTCTGGGACTCGAGTTTCCGCTTATATGGTTATGAGTGTGAGATTGACAGATTAGACTTCTCTTCTATACTATGTAACCAGCTGTAAGGAACTAAGTGGCTTCATTAGGTGATCCTAGTAGGTGATAAAACTCTGGTCGCTTTACCGTAATAGGTGAAAGCATTTAATAAATTACTTTTACTTCTCAGTTTGATTGCGCTTATTTACGGTTATTTGACTGTTTTGTTTTAATATGATAAAAAAACGATAAAATAAATTGTTATTTAATCTTTTTTTTAAAATTTCTAATAGCGTTTATATAATATTAAACTGTCATAATTAGCAAACTTGCTGACTAAAATAAAAGGAAAACAATTTAAGTATATCGAAAATTAATTTTAAGTAATACTTAATTAAGTAATAATAATTTTAAGTATATTCCAAAAAATTGCTTGTGTATATATATATATATACTGTGAATACTATATACTTGCTTGCAGTGAAATTGGCTCTGATGTAACTAAAGAATTTTGAAAAATTTCAAGATAGTATTATAATATTGGTTCAGAGATATGTAAAGTATTCTGAACTATTCTAAGATAGTAATGTCGAATTGGTTTTATTGAACTTAATACGGTATTTCTTATGAATTTGCTAATCTAACCAATGAAAGAATTATGTTTGTTTTAAATGTGTATTTTGAAATTTTAATAATTTAAAAAACCATACACATTTTTGGAGAAAAAAAGCAGCTTCAGTCTTATGGGAATATTATAATAAGTAATTTCAGTGATTTTTTTATTTATATAAAAATAATAATCATGCTTAAAAAGAGTAGTAAAATGTGTTTGACTTACCGTTATTTCTTAATAGATTAATTTTTTCTTAAATTTGTCTTTGAAAATTTATGAAAATCTTTGGGAACTATAGATTTTCAGTTTAAAACTATGTACATTTAAAGATAAATACGTAAAAAATAGAAATTACAAAGTCCTGCAAAACTCCCAGAAATAAATAAAGAAAAAGTTTATGTAATGATAATACGAATCTCTGTCGATTTGTATTACAGTAAATGTTTTTATACAATACAATTAAGTTTATTATCTTAAATTGTTCTGATTTCATATAATCCCCCCAAATTTTTTTTTTAAGTTTTAAATTCAGGATACGTTTAAACAATGTTCATAAATGGATATACTGAAATGTAAAAAAAAATATCCTCTCGTTGCTTTTAAGCAATAATCGCAAATTGATACATTTTTAATGTCATTAAAAATAAACAGACGTAAAATCAATAACCATGAAATATTAACTAGTTAAAACTTAACTTCTTAACTTTTTGAATTAAAAATACAGTAAAAATATGCGCCAAGTAGTATTCAGTAATTTAAGGACTTAAAATTCAATTAAGCTTTTTATCGTGATATTACTTTTTAAAAAGAGACACTTTCAAATTTGTAATTACTTTAAAATAGTCTAATCAATAATTCCTCTTAGTTTTCCTCAGTTTCATTCGTAGAGCTGTGCTGTACCAAAAGACTTTTACTAATTATGACTTCAAAATATGTACGAGAATTTAAAAAAAATAATAAGATGAGGATTTAGTAACACGTACATAATGAACTTTAAGAACGGATTCTGAGTTTTGGATTTGTTTGAATGTCGTGACGGAAGCAATTGAAACTTTAAACTTACTTTAAAATAAATGTGAATCTAAGAAAAGGAAAGCTAGGAATAAGCACGGAAGCTTGATTACTTTAATTAAACTTCTAAACATATTTTAAAACTTCTACCGAGTTTTTTTAACTCTCTTTGAGAAGGATGCGGTGAAAATTTCGGCTTCAAGATATTCATTTTAAACAGAACTTAACTCAATAAAGTAATTAAGCTTATGGAATGTTAAAATAAAAGCTTGATAAATCACTATGCATTATTACTTATTTATAATTTTTTTTAAAATTTAGCAATATTATTAAGTTTAATGTTTTAGATGAGGATTTGCCAGATGAAATTCAAATTTAAACGTATATATAAAGGTAATAAAGCTAATTAAGTATAAAGTTATCATATATTCGACTATACGATGAATGGCAGTCTTGATGTTTTAACTATTTTTTAATGAAAAATTTCTGAAATATGTCGAAGATAAGAAAAACAATACTTTGAATAAAAAATATAATTCATGCGATTACTACGAACATTTAAACGTAAGGTAATGAAGGATGCGTCTAAGATTACTGTTATATGTATTTTATTATTATGAAAAAAAAGTATTTCGAGTAACAATATCAATTTTAGGAATTATTTCTTTTTTAATAAGTTTAATACTTAAAACAAGTTAGTTTATTAAACTCGGATATTTATTACCGATCATATGCTTTGTGGGTATATTACTTTTCATTTTCATCATTACATTATTTAAAACCAAAATACCAAAAAAATAATAATAATTTAACACAATTTAACAAAAATAAGTTAAACCAAGTTCATAAAATTTGTTTCTTTTCTATAACTCGGGAACTATAGCTGTCGAATCATTATTCATTAAAAAATATCTCAATATATCAATGCAACACTAAGCTAAGAAAAAATATTAAAACAAATCTTCTTAGCAAAGAGTTATTTTGACAACACTTTTTTAGTATCGTTATCTCAATTTAGATTTTAAGAGTTTGCTTTTAAAATAACAATGGGAAACTGAAACACGTTTGAGCTAGTAAGTTGTTCTCAATTTTGACAGATAATGTTAACATTTATTTAACATAAAAAATTAAAAAAATTAGTTTAACTAGTTTTTCGTTTTGGAAGACAGATTGTTCAAAGAACAAAAAAAAGCAGTTCAAATTATCATAATATTTTACCAGAGCTTGAGGTAATGAATGACTTTAAAATGTTTATCTATTAATGGTAGAAAATGTTCTGCAATTAACAATGAAAATTGTATCCTACTGAGGGAATTATGAATTTTTATTTTTACAAATTTCCTACTCAAAATGAGATTATAGAATTCACTCTAGAAAAAATTAGTTAAGACTATTAATCCTTATTATTCTCATTAAACCTGAACGTTATTTAAGTTTTTGGAAATCTTAACAAGAATTATTTTACAAACCAATAATGTATTTCAAAACAATAATCTCCTGCGTCTATTTGCTGATTTGTAGAATGGGGTACTTTTTGATTTGGGAGGTTTTCTCTACTGGCCGCTTACAGCGCTACCCATAGAGTCTCAAAAGAGTCTCTAAGAGTCTCAAAATTTTGAACTGGCACTTTGGATGTATTTGATCCAGTCTTTTACTTATCGATATTACTTTAGTTTTATGTTTACAAACAGTTGTTTTCTAAAATCGCAATCAAATAGGCCTGTTTGAATAAAATTATAGAAAATAAAAATGAGAGAACTTAAAAAAGTAAAATTAAAGTAATTTATATCAGAAAAAAGTTCCGGTTTCCAATGTAATATGTTCGGTTTCTATGACTGGGAGAAGTTCCTAACGACTTATGATGACATTTCCGGATATGGGTTACTAAAGACATGCTTGAGTACGTGGAGATAAGATACAAAAGTAAGCATGATGTTATATCTAAACCAGACTTTTGAAACCCAGTTTAAATTATTTTTTAAGTAATTATTATTGCCATTATTATTGGAGTGGTAATTTTGGTTCTGTGTATATAGTAAAACAGTGATAATACGGTTCTCTTATATTTTTGTTAACGCAAATTAAGTGAATTAAAATTTTGCTTTTTTATTTATATAATAGTTTTCAATTTAATTTCATATACGCCACTCCGCCAATTTTCATGATTGTAATAACGTTCTCCAATAGTACAAATATATAAGAGGCTTTTAAAACAAAAAGCACACTTTGTGCTTATATAACTTATCGTTTATGTAAGTCCTTTTTTCCATTGCCCACCTGATTGACACTCGACATTCAAGTAACAGTAGGGCAGATTTGTTAGCCACTCTTTCAAGGACACCATATTAGGTGGGCCAATGCTGCTCCCACAGTAAGGACAAATAGTACAGAGAATGAAAGAACTTCCATGTCTTCTCCGGAATTCGAACCCAGGACCTTTCTGATCAGAGGTCAGCTCCCTAACCACTACACATTTGGTCGGACATTTTATGCAATATAAATGCAAAGTTTTGTTAGTCAAGTTATTTGTTTTCGTTTCACTTAACAAATCCAAAAATTTTACTTTATGTTTATTTCTTTTTTTGTTATTTATTTCAGTTAAATTTAATCCCCATGTATCCCAGTTCTGGCATAAGGAGACAAAATTATCTGTGAGGGAAGCAAATAATATTGTAATTCAAATTTATTCTGAGAAAGCCCATAAGGAAAACCAACTTCATAAAAAAATCAGCTTATTACATAGAATTGGATGACTTAGTGTATGAAGTTTATTTATTGATAATTTTTTAAGAAATGCTAAGTTGTATCGCTAAATAAAGTAATATTGCAAATGAATTTTCAATAAAGAAAAATTTTTATACCTATTTAATAGAAGACATGTATTAAACATCCATCTTACATTAAATTTAAATACTATATTAATAATCGATGATACTTTTACAAACTGAACAATACTGTTATGCGAAGTAACTTAGGAAGAAATCGTATCGGATAATTGAGATCCTATTGCATTTTTAAAAAAAATTATACTTGCAAAGTAGATGAATATTTAAATTTTGCTTGATTTTAATTAATACAATTCTGTTTAGAACTGAAAAATTATATTATCCGTAGTGCGGTAGGGATCCAAACAATAAATACTTATTATGAAGGTAAGTTACATTCTTTGTCTGGTGCAATGAGATATTCATTCTAAATAATTTATAAGAAATTTTTATGAAAGATTATTTAGGAAATTAGAGCTGAGCAATTTTGTTCTTAAACTAATCATATTTGCACAGAAATATTCGTCTTGTATCAGTCTCAGAAAAAAGCTGCCAAAAGGAGCAGGGATTTTGCTTGAATGTAATAAGACGAGTAAAAATACTTTTTGCAATATTTTGAAATATATATTAACGGAAAAATAACTAAAATTTCATTTGCTATAATTTATGAAACACTATTTAATCATTCTCTAATTTCTTTAATTAATGATACCATCATTGTTTATAAAAATTTGCGTAAGCAATGTATGGATGCTCTTCTCACTTATAGTAATGATACAATTACCTCTTTTTTCATTTAAATCTAACTATTTTCCATTCTTTTTTTAATGATGAAAATAATGTTTTATTTAAATTAAATTACGTGGTGTAACTGCTCGTTACTATCTCTTATTAATGATACAATTAATGATTATTTAAATTTAAGTAAGAGATTTGACCAATAATCAGTTCCTTTTATTAATGTTAAAATAATTGTTCTATTGAAATTTAAGTAATGTAACAACGCTCTTCTCACTTACAGTAATGCTAAAATTAGCATTTTTTGCGTATTTAAATAAATGATACAGCCATTATGAACCCTCTTTTATCAAAGCCACAACTATTGTTTTTTTTAAAATTCGAGCCGTACTTTAAGACAAATTATTAAGTGAGGTTTAAAAACAGTAATTTAAAGACCAGTACACTCATATCAACTTTAAAGCATGTTTTCTCGAAGCTGTGTTCTGAATTTCAAAACAAGTTATTCCCTCTTCTTACCTTTATTTTTAAAATAAGCATAAAAAATTGCAGTCTTTACTACTAAAAATTCAGGTTTTATATGACTTTAAATAACATGGATTAGACACGCCTGACTCAACCTTGACAAACGGTTGAGAGTTTAAATCTACGTTTTTTTTCCTTTAAAGTCGCGTTGCCTTTTTATTAAAACTGGAATAAAAAGTCAACGGAGAACAGTGACTTAAATATCTTAACATTTCTTTTTGTTTTGTAGATTTTTATCATACATATGATTTCTAGTTAAAGCATTAAGTTTTATGCAAATGTATGTGTACATGGAAAAGGTCTCATATACAGCATTAACTAATATAAATATTGAATACTTAAACAGATGTATAAACATTTCTTTGGTATTAAAGGTACTCAAAAATATTTTTTTATGCCAAGTTACTTTTAATTACATTCAAATTACTACCGAATAGTTTAAAACAAGGATAATGAAATTAAAGCAAATATTTTATATTTTTATAAATATTTATTCAAAATTCGAAATAAATAATAGTAAATTGATAAAATCGTACAGCTTAATTCAAATACTATATGAAGGCTGTTGTTCTAGGGCGTTATTAAGAAATTAAAATTTACTTTTCTGTAAAGAATGTCGTGAGTTGAACATTTATATTTTATGCTTTTGTTACAACATTTTATCCCGCTTTCTGATTCTTTGAATAATTTTTCTTTTTTTCTTATATTCACTTTTTCTTTCGTAACAGATCAGTTTCTACTAATGCTTGGAGTTTTAAATTTCAAATAAAGTATTAATGAATAATATTTTACTGTACTCACAATTATAAGAAATCTGTAACTGTAAATAGAAACTCGCATTCCTTTTTTGATATTCTGTTTTTTTAATTAAGTATAAACTATTAACATATCATGATTCGTCAAATTATTTTTGTTACAAATTACGTTACAACATGATTTTATGTGTTTTGATAAATATAAAAGCTGATTTTAACTCAGATTATGTTTCTAATTTAAAGTTTGGTTCTTGTTAGAAAAATATTGCTATTATGTATTTCATGTATTGCAATTGGATTTTAGTTGAGTTTTTATTACTTTTTATGCCATTAATTTTTCTGAACCCTATAATCTTTAAAACATCAAGAAACCGGTACATTTTTATTCACCTCAAAGTTAATATTTCAGTATAGGCTTTCATCCTTGAGAGCTTTATTACATCTGGAAGTATTAAAATTGCTACATGATAGTTTCGTTATATTTAGTTTCATAAAAGTAGGATATGAAAAAAAATAGTATTATTCTGTTTATTTTTAAAATAGTATTATTTTTATTGTTACCTCTATGACAGTTATAGTAGTAGCAGAGGTTTTTTTCAGTTCAGTAATACATTGGTATAATGTTGTCCCGCTAATAAGTGAATGAAAAAAGCATTCCTTTATTTAATTTTCTTAAAAGTTTTTGAGCTTGCTTCGATTATTAACTTTTGCAAAAATGTTAAAATACTTAAACCATTTTAAAATTTTTTTCCTTACTTATGCAACTAGTCAAGCATTTGTTTTTATGAAATTGCAGTAAAGGTTTTCTGTACACTATTAGAAATATTTGCTAAGTGTTGAACCATAACACCGTTTAAATCTGCTGCAATCTTAGCATGGCTTTAAAAGTTAACTATATTATTAAACTGGTTGCGCTACACTGTGGTTGATTTTGAAAAGGAACATGATTCAATATTACTTTATAACGTTTAAAGGAAACTTGCACTGCTCACACTAGCCAATGAATTAATAACATTTGATTAATATTTTATTAAACCTACTTTTGCTCAAATAAAACCCCGCATTCGTGAGGGCATCAATTTTGTAAGCTTCTGAAGTGTATTTAATCCTAGGAATTCCATGCATTTAATATTCCGACTTTAAGGTCCTGTAAATCGGACGGAAGTAGAGATTGACGTCATGTGTGCCTTTTCAACATGTCTCAACAAGTCTCAGAAATCTTCTATTCAAATATTTGGATAATATCTGGGCCTTTCAGTATCTAAGTAAAGTATTTAAAGTCATATTGATATCCATTGAACTATTTTTTAAAGCTTCTGGTACAATTTAAAATAGCATTATGATCCATGAACCTTCGGAGATGTCCTGACACCCTTGGAGTCAAAATGCAGCCTTGCAAAAGCATTTAATCTTCCAATATGACCAGCCATTGTATATTTTTTTAAACTTTTGCATGAGCAAAAGATTACCTACATCTTGATACTCCCGCCAGACCATTGCACACAGAGAAAAAGGTTCTTCTTTGATAAGCGAAAAATAAAGTGCAGCCTGTTTTAACCTTCCTGTTTCCTGTCCTCAGATGTCTACTGTCCTCTTTTCCAACAACACTGTAATAGGATTCTGATATTTAAGGCAGAAATCAGAGGTTTCCTTGTATACATCTATTTATGGTTATGCATTCCAAAAGTGAAGGAAAGTTTTCGTCAAAATCAATTGTAAGGAATCCTGATTTATGGGTTTTGTCAGATGAAACGCAGTAATTTGTGGTCACGATATCGGACGATATCGATGATGCTTTCGGTTAATTGTGTTTGAAAAATAGTCAGAGTAACGTCCACTAGACAATGACTATGAGTTCTGTTTCCAACTTCTTAATACCGTTAATATACCGCAGTTTTGAGAACCCGAAGAGCTTCGTTGTCTTCACGATCATTTATCCTGCTATATGGAAACCATTAATAAACACTTTTTCAAATGGTGAATATTGCCCGTTTTATTTCATTCTTCTGCATTTATAGTGAAATGCATTCTGATGACGTTTCATCTACGTAATGAAATGATTATGCATACTTCGCCACTAGCAAGCATTTTCTGGAAATTCCCACGCGTTTTTAATTTATTGGTCAGGGTGAGTAAAATACTTGGCTCAATGTTTAGTTCATTTTTATCAGAGTGCAGCAGTTTAGCAATTAATATAATAAATAAAATTCAATAAGTCAAATTTGATAAGTTTAATATATTAACATCAGGTAAAAAACTATACAATTGAAATAATATAATGATAATATAAAACGAATACATCAAATGGAAATATGTTTTGCCCGAAAAATTTATTACTATTTTTTTATATATATTTTTATACACTTTTAACCCACTGACGAATCTGCACGTGAAATGTTGTAATTTAACCTGCAGTCATCTCCGCATAACCAGACCGGTTTTTTCATCCTATGAGATGGAATCAGAGTTTTAGAGAAAAGCATTCTCTCAATTTTGCCCATTTACTAAATCGCCAAAAGGTTGATGCTATTGATATTATATCAAGTTTGTACTAATGAATGACCACAAAAATGTAATATTGGAGCTACATTTTTTATGAAACTTATTTGAATGAAACTATCGTATGGATTGTAAACTACGTAATCCCAAATATTAGTGTTAAAAAAGTCTGATAAAATAATTAATTTAATTTTTTTTCTTAATTTTCAGGAAAATTTCAAAGTATTTTAAATCTCATATATGCTAAAGAGATTTTAAAAAAGACATCTTTATTGAGGAAATAGAAATAGACAATTCGATTTCACGCATAAATAAATAGTGAATAAATAAAACATTTTTTTTGCAATTTTTAGACAAAATATAACTTATGTATTATGAGTCAATTCATATTTTCTTCTAGAGAAACCATAAATACTTACTTGTCATTCCCAGGTTGTTTCTGAACGTCTAGCATGAAATAAATAAATATTTCTGAGTACATGGATGCGTATTAGCATAAATACAAATAAGAAAACAAGTTTTTAACTGACTTTCGCATCTTTTAAAATTTATGGTAACTATATCAAACAAAAATATAAATTTGAAATATTTACATACCAAATACATTATGTTAATTTGCATTGTTCCTGTTAAAAATCTTTTATGTTTTTCGAATAAGTAAATAATATAAATTTCATAAGATATTTAAAAATATTACCGATACGTGAATAATATAGTAATCGTCTCCTTTATCACTGTTTAAAATCTAATGTATATTTACTATATATATATTTTCGACTTAATAATTAATCATATGTTCTTCAATTTTAAGGTAATGCAAAATAACTCCATTATGTTCAGTATATGAAACAATGGTAGTCACGAAATAACTATGTTTAATATCTCTTACTGCATAAACATATTGAATGCAGAGATGTGCAGTCAAAAAAGTTGGTGTTTTTTTTCAGGAATGTATCCAGTGAATAGGGCAAGCAGTTATTTTCAAACATTATTTGCATTTTTCATTTGTCTTTTAAATCAGAAAGCATATGTTTAAATTTTTGAAAAAAATATATTCAATAAATACCTTTTAAAACAATTTAACTCTTTAATTTCAGTGATATACTTGCTATATCCACCAATTTCAACAGTTGCAGTTAACTCATCAGCTTTCAAACTTTTTTTTAAGCACAAATATGTCACAGCACATTTATTTTATAATAAAATAAATTTAAATTTCAAGCCTGCTTTTTCTCTACTTTTGGAAAAAGAATGATTAGGTTTATGATTTGATATATTTTTATTTTTATTTTTAGGAACAATTAAACAAATATTTTTTTCTTCATTAATAATTAATAATTCATTATTAAAAAATGTATCCTAATTATGTTCAAATGTTTTCATAATCAGTGCACAAATGCTTAAATAAGAACTTAAAATCATTGATATGCAGAAATTTAAATTTTGTTTTCCAATGCGTTATAATATATTTATTCACATGTTATCCTTTGCATATTTATTGACATGTTCTGCGTTTAAAATTCTAAAACTCAACTTTAAAAAATGTTTTGAAACAGCATTTTCTATTAAATTAAGATATCTCTTTAACTTCTATTTACACGCGTACATAAATATCGCACATTTCCAAAGGTTGAAGTTAATGTATCAGTTCATATTTTCTTTCAACTTTGAGTTTTAATCAGTCACGCCACGTTTAAATGTCCTACCGTAAATTTAAGTTCTGAAATGTGCTTTAATTTCATCTTTTGGCAAAAGCTTGATTAATAATTTATGTTAAACCACCACAAGACAGGAAGCAACGCTTTCTTCAGACAAAACCCCAATTAAAACGAGACATGCACACATTTCTGATCAAGATAGCAGTGGCAACTTTCTAACTATTATGCTAATGCCTTGCCGAAACCAAACCTCTTTTCTTAATGACGAAAATATTACATTAACTCTCGAAGTTTTCAGTAGCGTAATTTATTACCGCAATCGGCCTTTTCGTCAGCGGTTTCCGATTCGAAACATCTGCGACTACGAAATCGAATGTGCATTACTACCTTACCTTTACCGCAGTATCAGAAAAGCCAAATGGTACTGGTGACGAAAATTGATTTTTATCAGGTACCCAACTAATTCTCTCTCGCTTCAAGCGTAGGGTTAATTTATTCGTATTCGTAAAACCAAACGGAATAATAAAACTGGCGGGAAGCGAAATGTTTTATTAATAACTTCGACAATTAACTTCGCTTTCGAGTTTATGTGAAATACAAGACGCCAGTGTAAGAAGGTTGGGTTGGGGTGGGTATATAAATATATTTATCTGTCGTAAGTTACAAGCCTTTCATATTAGGTTATCGATGGAATTGAAAATAGAATGTAGAATTAGAAATGGTAAAGGGTTTTACCTGAGCACCAGCTGTAAAAGTTTGAATATGAGTTTCGATTTGGCATACACTCAAATATTTATCTTAAAACAATGATTAATTGATTTTCTAAAAGATTAAACACCCATTAAAAGGAAAGCGGAATGCTAATTAATATGTATTAGAGTGCAAGAAAAGTTAATTATTTCGTATACCAAAGATAAAGTCTGTATTAGAAGGATTTTGAAAGCTTATAAGGTTTTGTTATGAAAGGTGACTTTTAGTTTAGTAGTTTGGATTAGCATTTTTGGCGAATCATGTAAGAGTAAATATTCAAACAATAATAAAAAAACGTACAGAGTGCTTCATATTTGCCACTCTCAATATATGTTTGCAGAATCTTATCCAAAAATATATAAAAAAAAATGTGTTATAATATTAAATTAATATTTAAGAAATGAAATAAAAACACAAATATATTTAGAAAACTGTCGAATCGCTATTGAGGAAAGTGGTGTCCTATTGATAACCGGACCTGTTCGATTGCCGGAATGTGCTAAGAGAAGTTGAAAGACGATTATTTGAAACACCTATAAATTTAATCCGAAAACCGTACTGGTTTTAATGTTCTGTTTTCATTCCGCCTTTTCAATATCGAATAAGCAGATATTGTTTGCGAATTTGTATCTTCCTAATTTAAATAAAAATTTGAGTTCCATATTGCTTATAGAATTATAAAATCAATTTTCTTTCTTTTAAGAGGATTATAAGAAAATATAATAATAAAGGACATTATTACAAAGTAACTATGGATAAAAATGTAATAACGTAACTGATGAATTAACCATGCATTATCGGTGGTGCAAATAATAATCTCTTTTTCTTTTCTATTATTTAATTTTAGGATAATGTTTTTATGAATATTTGCATTAATTATATCGAAAATTAAAGTATAAACAGCAGCATGTTTGGCACTCTTCTAAATTTAATATAATTGTGTTACAATTTGAGAAATAATATGTATAAATTGAGCAATCATTTATAATTGCTAATCATAGAGAAACCATATCTCCACTTTTTAATTTCTAAGATTTAATGCAGTGAGATTTAAAATGATTGAAATGATAAGACATCTTATCTCTTGCAGTCAAAGTTAACTGAAGATTATTCCTTTACTACATAATTGCTTCAAATCGGAACTCACTGACCAAAAATTGAACTGCAGTTTACTTAATCTTCATGGAAATTATATTCCTTAGCTAACATTTTGTCATTTAATAAAGTTCATAGACTGTGACATAATTATAGAGATAATATTTTCTTGAGGGCAGAATTGATATTCTAGACATAACTTTAGGTTATCTAAACTTTAGGACTATTATCATTTTGTATTGTAACTAAGAATCATTATTATACCAGCTTGACGTTAGGAGAGATAGTATATTGTAATTAAATCGTCAAATTAATCAACTACTAAGTAATTATGTGGGAAAATAGGTTTCCCTCGTAAGCGGAATTCTTCTCTGATGTTAAAGTGCATTGAATTTTGAAATTGGTATGATTTAATGTATAATGCAAAAATGTCATTCAAATAAAATAAAATATACCTTTTTCATTTTCAGATCTATTTCGAGACTTGACAACCAAAACAATAGTTATTGCTATTAAAATGAAAACTATGATGACACAAATAAGGATGATAAGAACTGGACTAAAGGTTGTTTGCCAAGGATCATCTAAAAGAAAAGAAAATCTCTATTAATTTTCCATTTGAAAATTTTTTTTATTAAGAACAAATGTTTATAACTTTATACTTATAATATATTTAATTCAATACTAATATTATTAATTCATAATATAAATAATTTAACGATTAATATCTTACATTAATAATAAAGTATTTAATAACAAAATTAATATAATTAGTTTTATATTTAACATAATTAATTGAAAATACATTATATTTATAATTTATATTTTTACATTTTTTTTGTGAAAAGCTCATTGTAAGCAAATAATTGCTCATAAAATTAAATAATAATAGAATTAATTTTATCAAGAATTATTTTAATTAATAAAAATTGAATTGTATAATTTATATCATTAATTTCATACTTATCCTTATTAATTTAAAATTTATTATACTTATAGTTTATATTATAATTGATAAATAAGTATTGTAATTTATTGGAATATTATTTTTAAAGAAGCTCGTGATGTACGAATAATTCCAGTTTGTAAACTTATCCTTAAAATTCTATGCATATTTAAAAGTTATCTGAATATATCGTTTTAAAATTTTACGTGTATATTTCTGACCTTTAAAATGTTTAGATAAATCTATATTTTAAAACTTTATGTTATTAAGACATTGTTATTTCACACTTAAAGTGAGATACAGACCTAAAATGTTTGTACCAAAAATATTTAAAAACTAATTTCAAAAAATTTTAATACTTTTAAAAAATCTACAAAAAAACACCAATAAATCATTCCATTTTTCTGTAAAAAATTCCGAATCAAATTACGGTAAAAATTACCAGTACTCAGGATGTCGGCACTTTTTATAGTAGAGTCAATTTTTACCGGAACACGTTGCAGAGCAAAAAATCTTTTATACCATAATTTTTACTGTAATAATTACTGTAAAATCACTTAATCATTTGAATTAGAAAAATATTACTCGAAAAAATTACGGTATTCTTATTTTAAGGGGAAAATGGATTTAACAGTAAATTAGATTTTATGGATAGACCGTAATTTGAGCCCCAATTTTTTACAGTGTTCTTGAACATTGATTTTTTCTTGATTATATTGAATAGAGACACTTCAGATACGTTATACATCTTAAAGTAAAGGCATGTAAAAAATAATAATAATGGTTCATTCAATTTTTTTTAAATTAAGCAATATCATGAAACATCTAAAATAAAAACCCATTAAAACTAATTTAATTTTTTTATCATACAATAAACCAATTTTCTATACACACGTAAGAACAAAATTTCATAGTTTTAAAGTCACGAATAGTCCATTGTATTCCTCATTTGAATTTCTAATGTTGTACTTCTGAATGCAAGCATTTTAGAAACAAGAATAGAGTTAATCGCATACAATTAACAAACTAATGCATCTTACTGAAAAAATAACATTTATCATGTATTTGCCTCGAAATTATATATAATTCAAATGTTAATGGTACCCTAAATACTCTTAAAAAATTTATGCTAGCTCAGAAGGGAGAAAAAGCTCACTTCTTATTTTAACCATAACTTTTAAGTGCATCGCTTCTAATCGCCAATGCAGCGAATAATTTACCATAATCTTTTGTTTATGATGAAGTGCAGTATAAAAAGTTATTCGTCTGAATAGATAAAAGATTTTCTGACTTTCCTTTTAAGCATGGGATTTGGTAAAAGACTGGTGTTTAGGGAGCCATCTTTTCAAAAGAATGCTCCGTTATTTACGAGATTTTTTTTTTGCTTTCTTTTATGGATAATGGGCTTCATTTTATGCAACATTTTAGTCCCGTGTGGCATTGTATAGAAACTGTGAGAGATCTGGTAGGATAAGAAGGCTCGAAAGAAGCTTGATCTATTCAAGATCTATTTTCAAAACTGTATTTGTAAAGTCGAAGAAAACTCTTTAAATATATTTACTAGAATATCATAAGTGTGTATTCTTCTTTTAGAAGCGTAAGTCTAGAAAAAAAAGTAGAATTTCTTTTCATACGGATTGTATAATAAGCTATTTAAAACAATGTTGCTGCTATTTCAAAGTTTGAATGTTGTCTAGGGGTTAGTTTGAAACATAGCGAGGTATTTTTTTTCTTTTCAGCAGAAATTTTGAAACGCTATTATGAAGCACATGAAATATCATCATTACTGATGTACTTTTAAAAGAATTTATTCTGCTGGTTAAAAATCAAAACTGTTTTAGCGCACAAATCTATAGGTAATAAAAATTACTTATGAGGGTTTATATATATTTTTTGTCGGTGTTGAATGTCCACTTAAGATTACAAATGGTGTTCCTTAATAACAACTCTTAATGCATGTTGTTAGAATTCTTTTAGATAAATGAAGTAAAATATGCATACATTTTGGTCGAAACAAACTGATATTTTCAGTAAAAAGGAATTAATTTTTTTCAGACAATGACTGATAACTTTTGAAGTCAATGAAGGAAAAAGGAGGAATTGAAGTTGTCCAAAACCGTGCTGAGAATAAAGTTTACGATTGCATAACAGTTTAGCTGAATATATAAAGTGTTTCTTGATGATTTTAACCTTTCCGATGCTATCCCTTGTCATTAGTAATGATTGATCATAGATCGAAAGCGTTCTTGTTTTTCTTCTTCATTTAAATATTAAGTTACAACCTAAATGCAAAACAACATAGTTTTTTATTTTGTCAGTTATTAAAATATGCTTTTTTAAGAAATACTGAAAATGACTGCAATACACTTTTATATATCATTTTGAGAAATACATTTAAATAGTTAATTTTCGGAAACTTAAATGAAATGGAAAAAGAAAAAAATTCATACCCGTTTCAGAAACTCGGTACCTTTTAGTTTCAATAATTGTTCTCAGAAAGCATTTAAAAGGGGAATTGTTGCCTTGATATTTTGATCAAAAGCAAATAATTAAGTCGCAAAAAAATTAACCAACCATGGTTAAAAGCAATAATTGCGCTGACTTTTTGAAAATAAGTATACGAGAAAAAAGCTAGATATTTAAAATAAATCAAAGCTGAATGCCTAATAAATAGTAAATCACCTCTTTCAAAGCTATTAACCATGGACGATATAAAAACATATATGATTTTTCTTACATACGTGAAACTTTTCTTTCGACTTACAAGAAAATATAAATAAAACTTAACTTTTCTATTGATTTACATCAAAAATAATAATGAGAACTCAACAAATCATTTTAAATTAGTTGAGGCGTCAGATGAGAGATTCTAATAATTTTCCAAGTGAGGAAATAATAAAACTGTAATAAAATAATATATTATATGAAATAATATTTTAAATTAATATACGATATTTTAAGTGGTATCATTAGTTGACTGAATAAAGAAAAAGAAACTTTTGAAAAATAAGTTTCGGGAAAAAATGTATATTCTATAATAAAGTAAAAATATAAAAATATCGAATTGATTTATCAGCCAAATATTTGCCTTTTATTCCATGCTGTAGAATTAAGGAAACTTACGAAATAATTTTGTTCCGATTTATTAGAGGTATCTTTTTCATTAAAAGAAAATATATATATACGAAATATTTACGACTATATATGTTTTCTAAACTACATAAAACTTCAATATACGAAAAAGAATTTACTCTGATTTATATTCAAAATGCATAAATGAATACTCAACAAATTATTTTGCATTAGCTGAAGAGTTTGATAAACGACTTTATGAATTCTTCAACTGATGAAATAATTTTTGCTTAATTGAAATGAACATGCGATTTTTAAAGCGGTCTTTTTGGAATTTTTCCCATCCTGAATTGCCTAGAAATGTTCAGTCTAAAGAAAAGAAAAATCTTAAAATTTATCTTAAGATAGAAAAAAACGAATAAAAAAACTGCTGGATTTATTAACCACTTACAGAAGAATCAAATTCTTTCGAAATGATATTCGTCTTATATAGGTTCTTCTTATATAGGTAATCTTACTGAATTTTTAACGACAAAAAGAAAAAAAAATCTAAGTTGAAAATTTACAAAATCTGAATGTAAAAATAAAAAATATAAATGTTAAATTTACAAATATATATGCCTTCTTAAAAAAATTGGAACGAAATGAAAAAAATGCTCTACCCTATACATTAACTTCTTAGTGGCTGTTGTTGTTCTCAGAAATAATTTCTAAAAATATCAAAAATATTTCGTAAAAATAATAATAATTCTAATAGTGTTAATTTTTTTAATCAACTTGAAATTTTTAGCTGTTTTTAAAATATTTAACTTTAAACGCTTGATAGAAAATAAATCACTTCTACAGAATAGATAATCAAAATAGTTTAACAAAATATATGTGATTTTTCATTTACCAAAAACTCTCAACCTGAATTTTTCTATGATTAATTTTGAAAATGTAACTAAATACTCAATAAAACTTACTAATCCAATTGATTTAAATAATTTTCAAATAATAAAACAATTAATTACTTTAAATGTATATGCAATATTTTAAGAAAGCTCTTAGAAATTTTTTGTGTTATTAATTTACTAAGAGAACTTTGCATAGAGACAAATTAAGAAAAAATGAAAAGTAATTCTGAAAAAATACCATGGCAGAAATAAAAAGATAAAAGTCAATTTATTAACCCATGATTTTTTAACACCCATTTATTCTTACTGTAGACTTAAAAAGCATTGAGTGAAGTTGTTCCAACTGAATAGAAATAGAATTTTTGGCGAGAAAAAAACCAACAAAAAACTTAATGAAAAAAAAATATCCCCAAAAAGTAAGAAAAATAATGCTTTTATTTTCCGCTTGAAAAACTTGATTTTAGAAAACAGTTTCAGAAACCAGGAAACAGTAACTTGATTAGAGAAAGATTTCCAAATAGCAATGAAATCGTTCTCATAGTTTTTGTTTTGACCAAAGGGATAGACTGAGCTTAATATATAAAATGTCTGCAAAGTATTACAAAGTGAATGCGAAGTTTGAAAAAAAAATTCAATTTGTTTCGGGTAAATGATTCTTTTGTTTCTGAAG